TCACTGCTGCATGATGACACTTCAATGTAAAAGAAGAGAAAGAGAACTGTGTCAACAAGGGAAAAAGAAAACTTTTTAAAAGATAGGGCATCTGCCTGAGATTTGTGGGTAAGGATATGTTAAGGGTATCTTGGGCAAATAAAGTACTCCAGCAGGCAAAGAAAATGTTTCAAAACAGGCCAAATTCTCTTCAAGAAGACTGGATTTTAGGTAAGGCAAGAGAGTGGAGGAACTTTCTTAGAAACAGAGATTCAAGAACTTTTGTGGATGAGTTGATAGGAAAGAAACACAAGCGAGAATATGTGACCCAAGAGTTGGTGCCTGAGTGACAGGAATAAGAAGGTGGGCACAATGAATGGCCTTCAGTGCACATCTTCTGAATGCCTGTGTTGGCCACAACTTTCAGATGCACGGGAAGTAACTGAATCAGGATCCACTTCAGTCTTTAAAAGATATCTATGATCTTCAGCATCCTGGATTTTCCCAATTCAATGCATCTTTTGACTTCTTGACTGCTGCTACCATTGGTGTTGATTGTAGTTTCAAATGAAATTATTGGCAACTTCAATCTTTTCACCATTTATCATGATGATGGCTATTAGGCCACTTAGACTCACTGTTCTCAAATAAACTTATAGTTGAACTTCAAGAGGCTGTAAATTGTACAAAAACGATCGCCCATATTTCTCCTGCAGAGCTGCTGGTGGATTTGAGTCCCCAGAGAGGAAGTACCTTTGGTTTTACATAATACTTGCTGCAGAATACTTTCCTTAAGCAAGAACAAACAAAACCCAGCATCCACTGATGTTGAGTCAGTTCTGACCCGTGGTGACTACAGGTGCTACAGAGCTGAGTTGTTCCACGGGATCTTCTCAGCTGCAACTTTTACACAAGCAGATTGTCAGACCTTTATTATTCTACAGTTCTTCAGTGCCGCTGCGTGAGCTCAAACTGTCCACCTGTAGGTTAACAGATTAGCACTACTTGTGCCACCCACAGAATTTTTCCTATAGAAAGGAAGAATCTAAGATTACCTTATTAGATTTTTGATCAAAGGACATAGCTACCATGTAGTATTTTGACAAACACATCTCTAATTCATATCTTCAAAAGATCTACGAGACAGACACACAACACTAATCACAGTTATGTGCTAAGTGCCTCAATAGGTACATGCATGCACACATCTCTAGATTTCTAATTTTCCTGCTCTTTACCGTGCAATGGGGTCACCATGGTTGACAAGAGAAACATTCCAGTTGGGAGGGGGGAGTGGTATAAGGTAAATACTTAGTCTGGGAAAACAACTATGATAGCCCAAGGCAGAAGCTTGGCAGGAATAAGTTTCGAGTATGGAGAGGTTAGTGCAGGAATCGGGCAAGGTTCTGACCTGTTGTTCACAGGATTGTTATGAGTCACAGCTGAATTGACAACACACAACAACATAGGAGCGGGAGCTCTGTGGTGGTGCAGTCCATGGAGAGTTGTGCTGCTAACCCCAGGTGGCACCTCTCTGGTGATTCAAATCCCCCAGTGGCGGCAATCCTCTCCCGTGCAATGTACAGTCTCTGAAAACTCACGGAAAAGTCAGCTATGAGTTGGTTCCAATTCGGAAGCAATAAGTGTTGAGAAGGCAGAAGATCAAATTGAAGTGGACAGTAATTAAGGAGAGGAGAAAAATATAAAGTCAGAAAAGCAGGAATGGGCTAGCTGCTTTAGTGCAGGGTAGGTTAAGTACAGAGTTTGGAGGCAACTGGTTTTAGCAAGGGAGTGACATAAGTTTGAAGAATCATTTTAAGGATTTTTATTTACTTTGGGTAAATAGAATCTGGTGACCTTGTGGCATGAAGCTGCACTGCAATCCCAAAGGCACTCGGTTCAAATCTACCAGCTACTCCAAGTGAGATAGATAAACATCCTTCTGTGTGATTTACTTGCCTCTGAAAACCTGCTGGAGGGTCAGCTATGAGTTGGTTCAGACTCGAAGGCACACAACAATATTTACTTTGGTCACCATTAATTAAAGTGGAGGGCAGTGGTTTTTATTTCTTTTTAATTTTTATTTATTTATTTTGCTTTTGGCTTCTGTGTACATAAAGGATTTGAGTGGAAACAGGCAGGCTAGTTAAGAGGCTTCTGAAGTACAGGGAAATGGTGGAGGCTGGGATAAGAATGCTAGCAGTGGATTTGAGGAGAGGTGGACAGACGCAGCACTTTATATGTAGTTACCAGGCCCCACCAATTTTCCAGAAGTAGATTACCAGAACTTTCTTTTGAGGTGCTTCTAGGAAGACTCAAACCTCTAACCTTTGCATTACTCAGGGACTCTTATACTTGTCAAGCAAATAAGACTTGCTGACCGACTAGAATGAAAGCATGTCAGGGCACTCTTTCTCAAAAGAGGTAACATCTAAATACAATCTTAAAAACCACAACAGAGTGCTCCAGGCATCCAAGAGACTAGATTTAAAAAAAAAATAATAGAGGTTGGGTTACAAACTGTTAGTATGTTTATTCCCCAGTATGATTAAGTATGATTATTGTTGTTATGTGTTGTCGAGTCACCTGTGATTCATAGCAATCCTATGCAACATAGCTCTGGACACTGCCCTATCCTAAGCCAATCTCATGTCTCTTGTACACCTATCCCCATTCCCCCAGTTACTGTGTGGATCCATCTCTTCCAGGGCTGTTGTCTTCTTCTCCTGCACTGTCCCTCCACCCTTCCAAACATCATGTCCAAGAACAGATCCTGCCTGACGACATGTCCAAAGTATGTGAGAAAAAACTTTAAAATCCTTGTTGCCAAGGAGCAACTTGGTTTAACTGTGTCTCCAGAATAGACCTGTTTGTTCTCTGGGCAGTCCATGGTATGTTCAATACTCTTCTCAGCATAAAGCAAAGGCATAAATTCTTCTTTTATCCTCTTTTGTCACTGTCCAGCTCTCTGATGCATAGCAAGTAACTGCAAAGACCAGGCCTGGATCTAGCACACCTTAGTCTCTAGACTGACATTATTGCTGTTTAGCATTCTTGAGAGTTTCTTGACCGCAGATTTTCCTATTACTGACTTAAAATTCTGATGGAAAATTCTGGCATTATTATTGTTGTTAGGTGCCCTCCAATAACCTATGATTGGCTCCCAGTGACTCCATGACTGACAGCCCTGAACCTTGCCCTGTCTTGCGGCATCATCAGGATCTCCCACGTGCTTGACCCCACTGGTAGTCACTGGGTCAATCTACCTTGTTGAAGGTCTTCCTCTCTTTCTCTGACTCTCCACCTTTCCTAGCATGATCTCTTCTTTCGACAACATGCCCAAAGTATGTGAGATTAATTTTCACTATACTTGTCGCTCAGGGAGCACCCTGGTTGCCCTTCTTCCAAGAGAGACTTGTTTGGATCTCTTTATGGTACATTCCAGAAAGACAAAGTAGCAGTTCATTTATGATAGTATTTATTGCATTCTACAATGTGTCAGGCAGTGCAGACAATGACTCTGTCCTAGAAAGTAGTATAGTGGTAGAGACATATCCAAACCAAAAACTGCAAATTTATGTGTGACCTCAATTTTGGTAAGTTCAATGAAAGAAAAGTACATTGCGCAATGAGAGTTAGTGAGTCTAACAAGGGAGGCTAACCTCCTTGAAAGGAAAAGAAAACACATTCAAACTGATAACTGATTGTACAGAAGGTGACCCATACGAAGAAATTTGGGACCTAGGCCAGGGAAAGGGCAAAGTAGAGTAAGGACTAGAGGAGGAGGAAAAAAGAGTCAACTAAAGTGTAAAGGGTTTTCTAATATACAGAACTACTTCATTCATATTCCCACAAGCAGAAATCACACTGATTTGACTTTGCAAATGGGGCTCCTTAGGTAATCTGGTGGCTCAGTGGTAAGGAGTTGCACTGCCAGCCCTAAGGCAAGTGGTTTGAATCCACCAGTATCTTTGTTAGAGAGGAAGGAAAAAAAAAGAGCAACCTCTTCCCTGTCTCTGAAAACCCACTCGACTGTGAGCTACAGGTTAGTTTCCAAGCTCCTGATTTTGTTTTCTGGACTTTTAATCTTACATGAAAAGATCTCCTTAAACTAGTTTTAAAACCATATTTTATTGTCTTTTAGGTGCATGTTTACACAGTAGATTGGGTGGCTCTTTAACAATTTCTTTTTTTAATATTTTAATTTATTTAATTTTCATTTCAATGAACATCTACAGAGATTTTGGAATTCCATTCATTTATTGTTGCACCCTTCTCCCCGCCCACCCCACCTCACCCCCCCCTTTGCTCCTCTCCCTGAAAAGCAAAAGAAAAACTCCCTCATTGGTACACAATCCCCCCCCGCACCTCCCCCAATCCCACCCCCAACCCCAAATATAATACAAATTGTTGTGTGGCTATGGTTTTTACAATGTGTCAGCATATTCTCATTATTTCCATTCTGTTTCCACAGATTTCTACTTCCCTTCTCCTCTGTGCCTTCTCATTTTGCTTTTAGGTAAAAATGCTGACTATAGTCTCAAACCAAGTAATCATATTTAAAGGGGCACATTATTCACTGATGATAATATTTCTTTTAAGTCTATCTACTATTTGGCTGAAGTTTTCATAAACTCAAAAAGTGAAAGAGTGTTCCCTCTCTCTTTCCAAAATGGCCAGAATTTCTCCCCGTGCCATAGCTTGAAGAGGGAAGCCAAAGCTCTGGAATGGAGAAAATATTATTGAAGGACTACATGCCTTTTGCATTATACTTCTATCTAGGCTCCCCAGCGGTTTGCCTACCTGTGATCTAGCACTCTGAACGAGTCATGAATGCATTGCTGTTTGATGGGATCTTAGATCTAACAACACTAGGTGCAGCTGTGGGCAGAAAGGCGCGCGCCTGCCTATAGTAGCAGCGGTTGGAACCGCATCCCAGCGCACCTGGCACCCCATCCTCTGCCTCACACTTTCACCCGGCCCGCGACTCCCACGCCTGCTGAGGCCGAGGCCCCTCTCACCCTTCTCCTTGGTTATGATGGAGATGAGCGGCACCCGAGGGCGGTCGCTGAAGACCTCAGCCTGCTGCACCAGCGCCTCGCGCACGCTGTGGAAGTCGTTGAGGACCACCACCTGGTAGTGGCCGATGAAGAAGCTGAAGATGTTGCCATACTGGCGAGCCAGATGGGCTAGGAGCACCTGCGGGCACAGGGCTGTGGGCTTCATCCCAGCGGCCTTGGAGTGGCGATACAGCCAGCTCCACCGCTGGAGGAAAGGTGGTAGCAGCACATAGCCCAAGTTGCCCACCAGCGGCCAAGGCGTGGGCCCCGGCGGGGAGCCCTGCGCGCGGTGCCGCCGCAGCCAGCTCCAGCCGAGCAGCGCGGCCAGGCCGAGCAGCAGCAGTGACCCGCCCGTGGGGTCCAGGCGCAGCAGCCCCAGGGGCGCGCGCACAAAGCTAGCAGGCCAAGGAAGCTCCTCGGTGGGGCGCTGCGGCAGCCCGGGGGAATCCATGGCCAGTGGGCCGGCGTCCTCACCCGCAGGCGGAGAACCCTGTTTTGTGCCAGCCAGTCCAGCAGACTCTTGACTACGAGACGCGCGGGCAGACGTCAACCCCCGCCCTGCCGTCTACAGCCATCACCGCGCAGGCAAGGTCGGCTCCGGGAGCAGAGCGGCACCGGCGCCCCAGATTGGCTGAGTCCACCGCTCTCTCCCCGCCTCCTCCAATCAGCGTTGTCCGAGCGGAAGCTAAGAGGCGTCTGCAACCCGGCAGGAGATAACAGCGGGCCTGGAGAGCGAGCAAAGTAAAAGTTGCTTCAAAAGTTCTCCTGTTATGCCTCTACTCCGAGCTTTGCTTGGCAGTGTCTGCCCTAGAGATGGGGAGATTTGCAACATAAACTTTTGCTGTCTGATTGGTTTCCAGATTTCCCGTGCAGAAACCTATCGGTTAATTAACAAATGGTTGCGGAACTTGAAAAGCGTGCCAAGTACAAGACAGACTACTGTAAACAGCTCTTAGACGTCTTGGTCTCAAAGTCAGCATCTCTGCCTTCAATTCGAAGGGATCTGTTACCCAACTGACAAAAAAAAAAAAAAACCAAAACACAAAAAATTTTGGTGAAGAGTTTCTTGTAACATGCATAGAAAGAAAGAATGAATCAGAGAAAGAAAAACCCCTCCGTTTCCAAATCAGGATACACAGCAACAAAGGACGGATGTAGCAGGGCGATGGTTATCAGTGAAGTGTTGAATTTGGAGTCAAAGTTCTTTCTAAAGCCGCAGAAAGGAAGATGTGAACCAGGTGTAGGAGAGGAAGGAGGCAGTGCAACAAATAAATGTCCTACACAGAAGGGTAAAAGCTCAGAGTCCATTTTTGCTTGTATCCTCAGTAAAGCATAGCACCTAATCCAAGAGTTGATAAATATTTGCTAAGATAATTTACGTAACTACTATTATGAAAGGAAAATTAATCAGTGGTGGAGGAGAGACAGTAATACTACTGGTATTAAACACAACCTGAAATGCCAAGTAGAGCTACATCGTGGTTGTTAAGTGTGGTCGAGTGGAGAATGACTCATACTCTGAACAACAGACTGGAACCATGTCTATGTTACTTATTGTGTTAAAGTCGTTATTAATATTTTGCAATAGTCATGGCCTCGGGTGCGTCCCTTTCTGTCTACAGGCAAATCCTTGGCTTCTCTTATATTAAGTAGACACAGGTAGAATTGCCAATTTTCAGCTTTTTCTTTTTTTTTTTTTTGCTAAAAGAATGTGTCAATATAATTGGTCATAATGGACAAATCTATTTATTTCCTGACTTCAGATCTTTCTCACTCACAATTGATAGCCCTTATAAAAGTGTGGTCAGAGTTACAGTCTTTATTCATTTTGTGATCCATTCAGGTTTTCTTCTAAAAACAAGTGTTGATAGCTGCTGTTGATCTGTTCCAGTTGATTAACTTGGGAACTGTTTTAAAAATTTCTTAGTGTGGCTTGGACTGCTCTCCTGCACGTGCTCTCTGGAGCATGAGACCATGGTCAGCTACCTGTAGGGCCTGGCCACTTAGCCTGGTGTCCCCTACCCAGCCACCTGGATCCCCAACCCGCTGTCTGGAGGACCTTACTTCGTGGCCCCCACTGCCCGGATGCATCTGCCTGCTGCCTGAATGTCTGGCCCCAACACCTCGAGGACCTGGTCTTGTTGCCTGGAGGCCCCAACACCTGGAGGACAAACCACAGCCACCCCTGTGAACTGTGCTGGGGACACTAATTACATAGGTGAAGCCATTCCTCCCTCCGTCCCAGAACTTGAACTGCCTTCAGACCTGGGTACCTTGGGCCTGCCAAGCTGTAGCAACTCCCTGACATATTTATAGGCCATATCTCTCCCCAGCTGAAGCAAGTCTTCTCTTGAGTCAAAAGTTCAGAGAGAAACTCAAGCAGGGTAGCTTCCCTGCCCTCCTCTGGAGCAGTGACTTCCTGAGCAAAGGTTTTTAGATAGAGAGTCCCCTAAGGTCTCAGGCATGAAACACTCTATCACAGCAAAGTAGAAGCAAGCAGACTACCTCACACCCTATACATATCCCAAACAAGATATCACCTTAAAAAAGGTGACACAGTATCAATGGATTTCCTGAAGCAAGAAAGTCTGATGAAACTTTCTGACACAGAATTCAGAAGAACAATGATTGAATATTTTCAATGAGTGAAAGATAAAGTTGAAGAATTACAGTACTCTGTAAGCAAAACACAAGTGGAACTTAAAAGAACAATCTGAGACAATACAGATAAAACAAACAAGGCGTTAGAGGCTCTGGAAAAACAATAAAACACAATCGAGAATATGAGGACCAGTATTTCAGATGCTGTCAACATGTTGGAGGGACATATGAACATAGTTGAAGAGCTAGAACACAGAACCAGCAATAGAATTTTCACCAGTAATCTGCTAGAACAAAAACTAGAAAAAAAAGGAAGAAAAAAGAAGAAACCTAAGAGTAATGTGGGACACCATTAAGAGAAAAGCATGTTCGTAGTCAGAATCCCAGAACAGGAAGAAGTAAGAAAAGGCACCAAGAAAGTTGTGGAAGAATTACTAGAAGAAAACTTTCCAGGCATAATGAAGATTGAGAGAATATTCAAGAAGTTGAACAAACACCATACAGAATTGTTTATTGATTGTCATCAAGTTGAGCATGACTCTTAGTGACCTTATCAACAAAAGGCCTGAAGCCTTTCTGTAACTATCATCATTTATCAAAGTTCACAGAGTTTCCAGAAGCATGTTGTTTAGGAAGTAAATGTCATTCCTGCTTCCAAAAGATCCCAAAAGAAACACACCAAGATACATCATAGTCAAATTTGCCAGATCCAAAGATAAGGAGAATTCTGAAAGCAGCTAGGGAGAAACAAAGAGCAACCTATAAGGGAGAGCAAATAAGATTAAGTGCCGATTTCTCTGCAGAAACCATGTGAGCAAGAAGAGGGTGGAACAACGTATATCTAACACTAAAAAAATAAATAAAAAATACAACTTTCAACCAAGAATATTGTATCCAGCAAAACTGTCCATCAAATATGAAGACAAGATCAAAATATTCTCAGAAAAGCAGAACCTAAGGGAATTTGTAAAAACAAGACCAGCATTGCAAGAAATATTGAGTGACATTTTTACACAGATGCCACAGAAAGTAGGATGGACCAAAGTAACCAGCAACAACACCAAAAAGAACTCAACAAAATAATAGCAATAAAACCTTGCCTCCCAATCAGACTGAATGTGAATGGCTTAAATGCACCATTGAAGAAAAAGAGAGTATCAGATTGGATAAAAAACTCAAAACTCATCAATATGCTGTCTATAAGAGAGACACCTAAAAAAAGTGAAGATAAAGACTAAAGTAAAAGGGTGGAAAAAATATACGAAGCAAATGGCAACTAGAAAAAAGCAAGAATAGCAATATTAATCTCTGATAAAATAGATTTCACTACAGAAAACAGCACAAAGGACAAGGAATGTAATGTTTAAATATAATGTTTAAAGGGTCAATAGAACAAGAGGATATAACAAAAACAAGTATCTGTGCACCAAATGGTAGAGCTACAAAATAAACAAAGCAAACATTAACAGAACTGAAAAAAGAAATAGACAACACCACTATAGTAGTAGGAGACTTCAATACACCACTAGCAAAACTCACAAAGGAAAAGAAAGAAGAGACAATACAAATAAGAGATGAAAGGGTCAATGTTACAACAGAATCAACTGGAATAAAGAGGATAACAATGGAATATTATGAAAAACCATACTCAAACAAATATAAAAACCTAGAGGAAATAAATACTTAGAATCTCACAATGTACCTAATTTGACACAGACTTAAATAGAAGACCTGAACAGACCCATTACAAAAGAAGAAATTGGACAAATAATAAAACAACTTCCAACAACAACAACAAAAAGCCTTGGGCCAGATGGTTTTACAAGTGAAATTTCATCGTCCATTCAGAGAATTGTAACCAATTCTACATAAAGTATTTCAGAAAATAGAAAAAGATGCAATTCTCTCAAACTCATTCTATGAAGCAAACACACCCTTGATACCAAAGTCATGTAAAGACACCACCAAAATAGAAAACTATAGGCCAATATCGCTCATGAACATAGATGCAAAAATTCTAAATAACATCATGGTTGATAGAATCCAACAATACATCAAAAAAATAATTTCCCATGACCAAGTGGGATAACACGTCTGCAAGGATGGTTCAACATAAGAAAAACAATCACTGTAATTCATCAAATTAACAAAGCAAAGGACAAGAACTACATGATCCTATCAATTGACGCAGAAAAGGCCTTTGACAAAAATCCAACACCATTTCCTGATTAAAGCATTCATTCAATAAAATAGGAATAGAGGAGAATTTCCTCAACATAGTAAAAAGTATATATGCAAACCTGAGAGTAAACATCGTTCCCAATGGAGAGAGTTTAAAGGTATTCCCTTTGAAAGCAGGAACTAGGCAAGGATACTATCAATTCTTCTATTCATTATTGTGTTAGAAGTTTTAGTGATAGCAGTAAGACAAGAGAAGGAAATAAGAGGTATCCAAATTAGCCCAGAGGAGGTAAAATTATCTCTATATACAGATGATATGATAGTATACTTAGAAACTCTAAAGACGCAGTGGGAAAACTGCTAGACATAGTTGACCAATTCAGCAAAGGGTCAGGATACAAATAAGAGGGGCATAGCAAAGCAGACTGGGAGGCAGAGGAAGAGGGAGGAAATTGTGCAACAATTAAACGATCTTTTTAAAGAGAAAAGTCAACTAGGAGGTGAGTAGGGAGGAAAATGCACAAAAATGAATGAATAGGAATAAAATTTTTTATAAACTTGTCAAAATATCAATAAAAAAGAAAATTTTTAAAAAACAAAAAAAACCCACACCCAAGTGGTAATACACTAAATTTCAAGTCCACTCTTATCCCACTAATATTTTTTGCCAAGTTTATCACTAAT